TACATGGTGGTATCTTCAAAGTGGTTTCTCAGGAACACAGAGTTACGCAAGAAGGATCTAACAAGTAGTTACAGCCTAAGGGTTGTCAAAAATCAAGTGAGTCTGGGGCAAAAGCCATTTTTTGTAGCGTTTTCTCTCCAGCCTCCCATCGCATTGGGACCCTGTAGCCAGTTAGTGTCCTCTCCCCAACTGTCAGCACAGGCAGCAGGAATCCTGCTGCAGACTTCTCCAGAGCTCCGCCACAGCCTGTACCGTCAGGGGAAGAATGGCTTCCAGGGAGTCTCCACATGTATTGTGCAAGGTCCTCCTGGTTTACAGCTTCTGAGTGGCTCTCGTGACCCCAGTCCACAGGACCTCTGACTCCTCCAGCTTAGTCTGCATTCTCTGAGTCCTTGTTCAGCAGCTGCTCCTCCGCTGACTCTGGACCTTTCTGGTTCTCAATGGCAGGAGCAAGAGTGGCCCATTGTATGGCATGTATTCCCAGGGGTTTCTCTGTGTTTGAATGATTAACACACGTCCATGGGGGGTCATCTGCAGCCGGTGCATGGTGGGCCAGTTGTGTCATTGTTTCTCTGTGTCATGGTAGTTCTCAATTGAGAGGTGGCGGCCGGCCTGAGGGCTGGCGCGCAACAGCGCTCGCACCGTATGACTCCCCCTGAGCCGGGGGCCCTCCTTCCAGGGACCTACGAGGCAGGGAGCGAGCTGGTCTGAAGACTGGCGCTCCCTGCCCATGGCTCCCTGTGTGCCTGGGCCCCTGCTTCCGGGGGCCTATGAGGCAGGGAGCGAGCTGGTCCAAAGACCAGAGCTCCCCGCCCATGGCTCCCCGTGCGCCTGGGCCCCAGGTGACTTTTAACACCTAAAGTACATGGTCATTAACCCGGGGCAGACAGGGGGCTGTTACTTTGTGGGAAGCAGACCAGAGAATGGATACTGAGGGGGTTCCCACCTATCAGGACTGCCTTTATCTGCAGAACACACAGGAGCCTTCAGCCTGCCCCTGGTTGGAGATGACTGGGTTTAGTTGGTTATGGGGGTAAACAACACCCTGCCCCCATGTTAACTGCTCTTTGGATCAGCCTTGATCTCAGACATAACACAGTTTGATCTGTGGCAGATCTGTGAGAATTTTAATATTGAGAGGACTCTATGTTTAAATTATGCATGAACACTAAGGCACTATACTTTATTCTAAGCATTTGACCATTGGTGACTTCCAGTTCATGCTGCTTGAATTTCAGTTGACTGTTAGTGAGGTTTTTGTGATACAGTAAAAGTAACAAGATGTAGAATTTCATTAGGTTTTTTCTTGTGTGAATGACATTTCTCTACTTTCATTTATACTATTAGTTAGTATGTACCTTAATTTATTATGAATGAATAAGAAAGTTCCTTAGAAGAAATTAAAATGAAGTCACTTGTCTCTGATTCTGATGAGGATGAGATCAACTTATATTCAAATGCAGGGTGTTTGGCAAAGTACTTGTCATTTGGAAATTGTAGCAAAATCACCAAGTTAAACTTTTAAGAACATGCTATTCTTAATATTCAGGAATGTATTATGCAATCCTGCAAATCTCTAAAGTTGCTCATAAGATTTTTGAAAATTCGTTTAGGGACAGATATGGGGAATTTAGCTGTTAACCTGACGAGGGTAATGGCTTTCTAGTGACAGAAAGTAACTGTAGCTTCCTTTTTCTCTGTCAGGGGAAGTGATCAGGAAGGTTGTAGTGGACTTGTGCTAGTACCCTTCCCGCGATCTTGTAGTAGAAGTGGAGGGAAGTCTGGATAAAGCAACATTTTGTGAGTTTGGGGGATTATACAAAAGTGTAACTGAACATACAGTGATACTGCTTTAGTAACTGCTTTAAATATACTGTGAGTTGTTAAAACTTTTTATGTGACTGTGAAACCCTTTGTCTTTTCTCCCCGCTTTGGTTTTTTTGAGATAGGGCATCCCTCTGCGGCCTTGGCTGGCCTTGAATTCATGGCAATCCTCTTGCCTGCCTCCCAAGGGCTAGGATTGCAGGCATGTGCTACTATACCTAGCTTGTTCATTTTTCAAACAAAATCTTTCTTCCCACTTGAAAAGATTGAGTCTGAAATACAAAGGGATTCTGCAATCCATAAGCTTTCTTACTTCCCAGACCTTTAGGGGAAAGCTTGATATACAGCAGTATAGACTGGATTGTATTCACAGGACTGTGCTTAAATTCAAGGAGTTTAGGTGGTTTTTTGTATCTTGGTAACAACTTTTAATTTTAGTTTCATTTGTTTCTTCCATTTCTGTTTCAGTGTCCTGGGTCATGAAACTTAATCCACAACAAGCTCCATTATATGTGAGTAAATACAATTTCTTTCATGTTGTACTTATCTGTGTTGTTTAGTTATTATAATAAAGTCATACTGTCATTGATAAAGATGATTAAAAATTACAGTATTAATAGTGTAATACACTAGTAATATACTTCAGGAAGTGGTTTAGATTTGGTCATATTAAATGACTAATATATGTATGGAACTGAGCTGAGAACAAATAATACCTGTAAGACTTGTAAGCTGATGTAGTCAGGGCAGCAGGATGCACATATAGAACATATTGCCTTGCAAATAGTTCTGTGGTTTCTTTCTTTTTACTTGCAGTGCCTTTTATAAAAGTAGAATGGAGGTCCTCCTCCTGCCATTGTGAGTTAGTCCAAGTTCAACTAGGTGGCGCTCTGTCATTTGCAAGAGTGTTTACCTGAGGACTGTGGGTAAAAGCTGGCATGTTTCCCTGAAGTGAGGGGACGATAAGATGAAATGGATACATGAACAGGTCAGGGCTAGACAAAAGTAAACTCTCGGGGACTGCTTATTTTGTTGTTGAAAAACTGAACTGACTGCATTGGGTGATGAGAAGTACCTCTTGGTGAGGAGCCAGCTAGAGTGTGAGAGACCAGTGAGCGCTGGTTTGCTGTGGTATGGAGCAGGTGAGAACTTTCTCTGTGATAAGACTAGAGTCAGGCTCTGAAGAATAAGGGCTGTTTAGCTGGTTTAGAACAAAGGAAAACAGTGGGGTGATGTGAGGCAGCGAGCATGGTGGTGGTCAGGTGGTGAGAGAGTGGGCCGTGGAAACTCTGCCCAGCTGGTGTTGTGTTGGAAATAATGGGAGGTGCAAGCCTACCACAGTTGATGTTCAGTTCCAAAGGAAGACAAAGGTGACGGTGTTGTTTTGTGACCACAGAGGAGCAGTTGATGGTTAAAGCTGCTGTTCATTTTGTAATACGTATTTATGTTTAACTATGCTGTGATAATAGTGAATTACCTTTCCAACCTGGGACATATGTAGAATTCTTTGGCACAGTTGATTTTTTTGTTAAATATAATTGAGAAGAAGTGGGTTTTGCTATGCACTTTAGGCTGGCCTCGAACTCACAGCGATCCTCCTGCCTCAGCCTCCCAAGTGAGCCACCATGCCTGGCTAGAAATGTTTATTGTTAGCTTACAGTTTGTAGATGTTTAATTCTATGGTTGGTTGATTCCATCTCATGACAGATGGGAAGTAGTGAAACAGCTAGCCTTCCTTTTTCTTTTTATTGCATTCAGGGTACAAGTGTATTGGTTGGTGCCACCCATACTCAAGATGGGTCTTCTTATTATCCATACCCCAGGACTATGCTAAACCAATCAGTGGACTAATCCAGTTATCACACCATAATCCAGTATCACATATCCTTGATCCACTCACCTCCCCAAAAAGCCCACCTGTGAGCACACAATCCTTTGAGGGGATATCTAGACATAAGCTATAGTATGAGTCGAGAGAGAAGGAACTTTAGAAACTTGGATTCCATTTGAGCCTTTTTAACATTTTGTTCTTGGAGTTAATTTCACTCATGTATCAGGATGTGAAATGAATTTTGGACTACAGTAGAGCTGGAGTATTTGGACTAGAGTAGAGTCAGGGAATTACTTTCATTCAAGTGTCCTCTTTGCATTAAGTCCTATTCTAAGTGCTGGAGACTTAGTCATAAATAGGACAAAAGGGTCCCTTTTCTCTAGGTACTTGCATTTGTAGTAAGGAGAAGACAGACAACTTAGATACAAGAAAACTGAAAGTAAATAAAACAAGAAAATATGATGGTGCTAGGCTGGGGCCTGTTTTATGTTTTAGATTGAATGGTCAGGAAAGGCCTATGAGGGGTATGCCATTTAGCCTGAAACTTGAATGACCAGAAGAAGCCAGCCGTGTATGTAATGCTCTAGGCCAGAGAAACAAGTACAGATGCTCTGAAGAGAGAACCTCAAGATGTTTGAGTTATCGAACAGTGACTGGGGCTTAGTTCGCTAAGGGGCAACTAGGCCTGGTCTCCAGGATGAGAGTGGAGACTTAGAAAGACGAGGAAAAGGCTAGATCTTGTAGGACTTTTACAGACTTTTGGGTCTGTCTTCCCACACCTGTGAACCTTGGTGTGGCACTTGATACTGTATGCTCTGAAAGCCTTAGCACCTCCAAAAGCTTATTAGCATTGTCAGTCATTTTAGGGATACTAGCGTTTCTTCTAATTTACATCTGCTAGCCCTAGTTTTTTTACATAGTTTAAATTTGAGGAAAAATAGTTTTAGTCCTTTTTAGGTGTTTTTCTTTTAGGAATAAATATTCTTGAATTGAGGAATATTATTAAATTAACGTAATTTGCTTTCAAATCAGATGTAATATAAATTTGGCTTTGTTTTTATATTTTATGGCTAGCTTACCCTTTGGGGAGGGAGAAAACCAATATAATTTCACAAATTGTTAGTTCATTTCTGAACCTAAGTAGTATTTGATATAATTTAAGAGTTATCCTTTCTCTCCCTCCTGGTTTGTAAATCTGTCTTGCATCACCCATAACTTTTCTAGGTGATATTCCTTAAAGATAACAGCTTATATTCAAACAGTACTTAATAGTTTAAAAGGAACATTTGCATACCTTCATCATTTGGTTCTCACAGCAAAGTTGTGAGGGCGAGGAGGCTGTGTTGTTAACCTTCATCATTAGACACACACACACACACACTCTCAGGCCTAACATGGGTAATCTAATTAAGTGGCAAGGGTGAGGCTTTCCCCAGATATTGTGACTCAAGTCTATTTTCTTTCTTCTTTATACCAAGCTATCTTATTAAATCTACAACTGTTCCATAAAACATGAAAATCTCATGGCACATACTAGAGGATTGTACAAATAAAATCCCTTTTTCTTGTAAATAATTTTAAGTTTAATCTTCCATTTCACATATTTCTAAAGTCCTAAAGTGTTTCACTTGAAATAAGTTTAATCTTACAGGTAAAATAGTACAACGACTGAGCCAGGTGTGGTGGTGCATTCCTGCAATCCCAGCACTCGGGAGGCTGAGGCAGGAGGATTGTTGCAAGTTCGAGACCAGCCTGGGCTACAAAGTGCAATAAGGCCAGCCTGAACTGCATCGCAAAACCCTCAAAATGGCAGAAAAAATAAAAATAATAAAAAGAAAAAGAATGTAGTGACTTTATGTCATTAGTATTTAGTTATACTCATTATCATCTGTATTAAGTATTTTATTTTTTGAATCATTTGAAAGTAGTAGATGTTAATGCCCCCATTCCCTCTAAAATATTTCAGGATGCATTTCATAAGAACGGTCCTCTTTCATAATGATACTGTAATTAACAAAGATAGGAGTTATAACATTTATGTAATATTCTTGTATAATTACCCCAGTAATGTCTTTATAGGATTCTTTCCCCTCTGCAATCTAGAATTTAATTCATAATTACTCATTTTGTCTCTTAATCAGTAAGTTTCTCTGTTTGTCTTTAATGATGTTGATCCTCGTCAAGAGCATAAACCAGTTATTTTGTAGCAGTTTGTGTTTGTAAGATGTTTTTCCTTATGATTTTGGCAGGACTACATAAATTATGACCAATTTGTTGTATTATGCCAAGAGGGTACTTGATATATTTCCTCCTTTCCTTCCTCTTCCCACCTCTTCCCTCTCCTTCCTCCCTCCCCCTTCTCTCTCTCCTCTTTATTCTCAGATCACTTGATGCATTCTTAATTGATTAGGGAAGGTGTTAACTTCAATCCTTTGGTAAGGTGATGACAAATTTATGTAATATCTGTTCCAAAGGAATTGGGCATTATAAGAAGACAGCTTAGGTAATTGAGTCCCTTCCCTGCAAAGGCCTCACCCAAATATTGTCTAGTTTTGGAGCACCTTTTGCATACTGGATTTTCCTAAAATAGGGCACCCTTGTTCTCTGCAAGATATGTCTTAGAATATAGGTGGAAGCTTGTTTGAGTAATAAATTGCTTGCAGCTTGACCAGAATATTGTGTATACCTTTGTGGATATACATACTTTTTTAAATGTAATTTTCAACCAAGGTCTAGCAAGCATATTTAATAGAGACATACAGTAATAGATGCTCAGTAAACATTCATAGAGCGTGTGAGTGAAAAATAATTGTTAAAACTAAAATTTTAGTGTAATTTTCTACTTTTGAATAGGGCAACTGCCTTTTTTCAAGGTGTTCATTTGTTTCTGTAGTTTCATGTATTAATTTATCATGTATGGACCCTGAATAGTTCATGATGTCACCTTTGTGTTTGTTTTTTTTTGTTTGTTTTGTTTTTCTCCGGTACCAGGAACCGAACTCACGACCTTGCGCTTGCCAGGCAGGCGCTTTTGCCGCTGAGCTAAATCCCCAGCCCCAATGTCACCTTTGTGATTGAAGGTGTTGCTAACAAGGAAATGAACATGTTAACCATATCCGTATTGTGTGTACATAACCATCCTTATAATTGTGCAGGAATCTTTAGTGTTCCTGTGAAGTAGGATGTGTGTGTGTATGTATGTACCCCCATCTGTACTGGAGAGTGAACCCAGGGCCTTTGTCTGTGAGCTACTTTCCCCAGCCCTTTGTTTATTTTTTTATTTTAAGACATAATCTTTTAAAGTTGCTAATTTGCTCAGCCTGGGCTCCAACTTGGGATCTTCCTGCCTCAGCTTCCCAGAGTACCCAGCTCTGTGAAGCATAGTTGAGTGTGTGTATTGCTTAACTTTTTGTCACTGTGACAGAATGTCTGAGAAAATCAAGAGGAGACAAGATTTTGGCTCATGGCTTCAGAGGTTTCAGTCCATAATTGTTTGGTTCTGTCACTTGGGCCTGTGATGAGACAGAATATTGTGGCAGGAAGTGCATAGTAGAACAAAGAGGAAGGAGCCAGTGCCCCATTGTCTCCTTCCGGGGCACACTGTGCAGCACCCTGATTATTCTCAGTAGCCCTTACCTAGCGTTTAGAGGTGCTGCCACCTGCTACAATCTCCCGTTAGTG